AATAGTCCATAAAATGTCTTCAGGCATATGTACTGGCTCTTTTTGTTTAAATGTGTATACTTAAGTCTGCAGCCATGCCACCCAAGCCCATCTGATCTCGGAAGCTAAGCAGGGTCGGGCCTGGTTAGTACTTGGATGGGAAATCACCTAGGAAGACCAGGTGCAGTAGGCGTAAAAAAATAAAAAATAAGGGATTGTAAACTGACAAGGTCTTTGCAATCTGTGAGATCAACCAAGGGTTGCCTCGCCTAAAATTAAAAAATAAATAAATAAAGTATATACCTAGTGTGGTCCATATCTACAGAAGCGGAACAAAGAGCTGATTATAAGTTTAGCCATTTAAGTGAAAACTTCTTCTTCATTCCTGATGAGAAAAACAAAGGTTTACAACAGAAAAGGCCTAACTTGTCACTTTAAACAAAGCCTACACAAGGATCTCAAGTCAGCAGTGAGAGAGTAAAGGATTATCCCTCTCTGACCTTCTTTCTTCCTTCCTGGGATGTAGTTTCTCCCACATTCGTTCCAATTAGAAACTCTTCAAAGATATGTTGAAGCTGGTACCCCACCTTCCCAACTCCACATCAAGAATGGAGGAAAGAGGGTGCCTGGGAGGGGAGTGGCCTGATAGCTTACAGGTGATCACAGCTGCTCCATGTTCCAATCACATCTGTTAAATTCTCTTTCCATTGTTGTCAAATGAAAAGGCAGACATAGGAACAGGAGAGGTAGCTGGCAAAACTCCTTCAGAGAAGGGCAGAGTGTTTTCCTGCCCCAGCTCTCCTGTGTATGCCCCTAGCACAGTGACCAGGGTGGGGGTAGGGGGTGGATGAGGATGAGTTAAGGAAAGCCTCAGGAGAGTCCTCCCAGGAAGGGCACATTATGCCAGCTATCACAAGTCCCTATTCCCTTCATAACACATATCTGAACACATCTTGTGGAAAGTAATGAACTCTCTAGTCAGCCTGCACACCCTCAACCCCTAGCCTGATCCAAGCACTCTGCAAGAAAGGTAAGCATGTTGAATACAGTGTGGCAGTGGGCCTGAGTATTCAGCACCACCGTCCTCACTAATACTCTACAGAAATGACAGGCCAAGAAAGACAGAAACTTGTCCCAAGCCACTCAGATAGTGTTGGCCGAGCACGGCACCAAATCTTCTGGTTCTCCATCCAGAGCTCCCATTACGTAGGAAAGACTCCAGAAGTATCAGGGTTGGGCCTCACCAAGTCAAGGCCTCAGTCCTTTCTCATACCACTCAGCTGGTGAATCAACAAACCTTTTGTGAAGGTTCCACCTTCTGAAACCTCCAATCTGGGTCACACTGCTCATTGCTGTAGTCTTGATTGCCTTTGATCACTAGAGCTGTCAGTCCCTTGAGAGAAGGGGCCATTTTTAGAACTCTCTGGCACCCAGCAACATGCTAAACTCAGAGCAGGCATTCAGTGTTTGTTAACAATGAATAAAAGGTGGTCTGGCTCTCAGATTTCTATTTGCTGTGAGGCAACAATCACAGAACCTCAAGCGGCAGAAAGACACCAGATTGGTGGTTAGATTAGATCCATGCTCTGGCGGCGCCTGTGTAAATATGCTCAACAATGGAGGAAGCCAGAGCTCTCAGGTGTGAACTCCAAAGCAAGTTTGCCTACAAGTTGCCAGACCTGACCCCATCTGCCTGAGGTACTGCTATCGGTAGGGGAAGCCAGGGGCCTAGGAAAATGGAGCAAGGATGGAACCTGAACCAATTTGCTAAACACAGAAACCAAGACTGTGGATATCTCCCAGATAGGGGCTCATAGGCACCCAGCCTTCTTGAACACATCCCCTGAGATTGTTCTTCACAGCAAAGCTTCACAACTGTTCGCCTGCAAAGGTTTCTATATTCTGCTCCCATGTTTTGAAAGACTGTCTATCAAAATTAAGTAGGCAGGAATTGCTCAGTAATCCCAAAAATAAGTAACTGCTATGCGTCATGTCTAACCATCATGAGTCAAGGAGACCAGGCAAAGAAGCCTGTCACTTAAGACAAAAATTCCCAAACAAGGACCTCTGCAATCACAGGGTGAACTACATGATTCTACTTTCTGAAACAGGGAAACTGACATAGGACCAGCAATCTCATTTTCAGAAATAATACTATAAAACCGCTTTCACAAGAGTGCAAAAATATATTTCTGCAAGAAAGTTCATGGCAGCATTCTTTATAATAATTAAAAAATGGAAACAGCCCAAATATCCATCGGTAAGAGAATAATTAAAGAAACTAAAATATAATCATATAATGGAATACTCTGCAGCTGTTGAAAAGACTGAAGTAAATCCATATATACTGACAAAGAAAGAGAGATACCAGTTATTTAATTTCATTGAGTGGTTTTGTGCCAGGATCTATGTCTGTGATGTATTAAGTAATTTAAAATAGTACATAAAGCACATGTCCAATGAAGTATTTTAAAAAGTTATAGACATATACATGGAAAAGAATATCCTAGAAAGGCAGAAGAGAAACTGTTAACAGTGATTGTCTCTAGGATGTGGGAATGTGAGGGGAACAAGCAGGAAGGGGAACTTTTACTTCTCACTTTATATACTTCTGTTGCTATATTTTAAAATCATCACCACATATTACATTTTTAAAGTTAACAAAAATATATATTGTAGAAATGTAGAGACTAGTATATGAAAAAGAAAAAAAAGCTGGAGGAATATACATCTAATTATTGGAGTTTGCATCTAAAGACACTGTGCAGTATTCACTCTTGTAGTGTTTTAATTTGTAGCATTATTTCATAATAAAAAATTGTTATGACCTTTTTTTAGAATATAATAACTCGGGACCCCACTTAAAGACTCCAGCTAGTCACCACTCCTCTACGTGTAATAATTGGTGGGCCGAGGCTCCTGTCTTAGGGCTGAGAGCGGGAGAGAAGTTCAAAAGTTTCCTGTGTCTTCCTCATTTTATTGTGACCCCCAACTCCATCCAAGACATCCCACCCACTGCCCATCCCATCAGTAGAAATACAATGTACCTGGAGTTCTCCTTCCAAAATCACTAAGTTCAACCCGCAAATATTTACTGAGCTCCTGCTGTTGGCCAGGAACTCTGCCAGGGGCTGTGACAGACAAAAGGAAGGTAGCCATAGTCTCTGCTCTCAAGGAATTTACAGTCCAGGTGGCTCCCTTAATCCATTACTCTTACGATGCCTTGTGAGGCCACTTCAAGGCTGGCAGCCTGAAAGGAGTACTTCTGAGGTAATTTTCCCCCAGCAAATGAAAACACCACATTTTTCTATTTTAGCATCACATTAGACACCATGGCAACAGAGAGCTGTACCAAGAATTAGCTCAGTGATGACCTAGCCAACATAAATCAAATTAATACTGAGCTAAGATTCTTGGAAGGAAAAGAAGTTCAAATAAATAAGTCTCTTCTCTAGCTCTCAACAAACAGAATCGCTTCCCTTCTTCGAGGGCTGTACTTCTCAAAATTCTTCTATGTATCCTGTGGTCAATGGAGACAGCTGTTTTCAGCTACCTCTAAGCTGAAGGATCAACACTTTGGCACACCTATAGCTCATTCATGTCATACAGCTGGGAAGCTCTGAAGAGGATCAAGTTGCCCACAAAACATGCTCACATTTATAAAGTAAAACAGAAGTCCAAACCAAAATCTCACCCATTTAACTATGAACATTTAATTATGTGACTAACAGAGAAGCCTAGTATCTGTTTCAGATTCCACAGAGACTAAGATCTGCAAGGTAATTCCATTCCAAGTGAGAGGCAACTCTAGTTCAGTGTCAGAGGCAAACAGTTTCCTGAAAACTGCTTTCTCTAGCTCATTAATACAACTTAAGTGCAGAAACTGCAGCTAGACCTGGACAATGTGCTTTAGCAAACCCACCCTCTAGTGAGTCAGCATTCCAAATCTCTTCCAGGGAAAGGGCCAACTACAAATGCCCTGAGTAGAAGCAGTTTTGTCAGAGCTTTTCCTGATGAGCAGAAATGACCTTGAAGAAATCACATAACACAAGGCAGCTTCCTATATGAGGCTCAGTCTGAAGAGCAAAACACGCTTACTGAGATCTCCTTCTGACAAGGGACACACTCTGGAGAGAACAGCCATCAGTAAAAACAGTGGCTTCCATTTGCTGAGTTCCAACTGTGCCAAGTGTCTTATATGCACTCTCACTCCTCTCTGCAACCATATAAAGTAAGCATGATTATTTCTATTTTGAAATGAGCAAACTAGTACTCAAAGAGCGTCAAGATCCCCTAAAAGCCAAGGACTGACTCCCAGTCTTCTGACTCCAAAGCCCGTTCTTCTAACCAAATCGTACTGTCTCCCCAGGGTAGGGGCAATGAGACTGCAATGGGAGGCCACAAAGCACAGCTAGCCCTTCTTACTGGGCAAAGAAGACATAACAGCCTCCTGGGGGCAATAACAAAGATCTTCAACCAGGGAGCATGGCAAACACCTGGGCAGTTTTTTTCAAAATATGGATCGATTCCAGATCTTCTGAATCAAAGTCTAAGAGAGTGAGACTCTTGAATTTGTATCTTAAAAAACAACCCCAAGATATTTTGGACCATCAAGGTTGACAAGGCTGCATCACCTGTCACACGCATACGCATGCATGCATGTGCAAACACAAGATTTACATTTGCTGTGCTCATCTAAGATCCTGGGCCCTTATAAGTGCTCAGTAATACAGCTGAATCAGTATCTGTTCTTAAACCAGTAACCTATCCCAGTGGATTTAGCTCCTACTTTATGCCAGGCACAGAGTCAGACACTCAGATGCACACAGAAGACAGAATCCCCATACCCACCATTATGTGGCACAACATGATCTACTCAACAGCATTCACAAGAAGTACAGAGCTGTCAATCTCTACATGTGAAGCAAGGGAGGCTTTTCCAAAGAAATAAAATCTAAGGTGAATTTCAAAGGACAGATGTAAATTTTCCACACTGATGAGTGGAAGGGGAAAGGAGAGTATTAAAAAATGAGAAAATTGTGTATCTAAAGCATAAGGGTATTAAATCACAGAGCTAATAAAAGTCTCACATGCCCCAACAACAAAATATGTAAACAGAAGATATAAGTTCCCAGGTGTTGACTTCAGGGTTAGGCCTCTCTACCAGATTATGAAGAGCCAGCCCTAAATGCCTTCCTAAGAAGCTTGGCCTTTATCATGTAGGCGCACCAAGGAGCCAGTTTTAGGCCGTGAAGGACTTTAGACTTTCACTTCAGCAGACTCATTTAGGAGTGAGCATGGGCCTGCGACAGGGGGTACCCCTTATAAACAGAGGGATGACTGGCTTACGGAACAGGGGACCCGGCTGGCCTCAGGCCTGCTTTTTCCCAGACTGAACAAGGAAGCGACCAGCTCCCGGTCACACGCTGGCGTTCAGTAGCAAAGGAGGGGTGTGGAGTTGGTGCCGGACACGAGAAGGCAGTGAGAACAAGCAGGTTAATTCATGACTGACGCCGGCTGGCTGAACAGCAGGCAGAGCAGCTGACCACGACCACCAGGCCCACGCGGCCCCAGAAACAGGCTACCCAGCGTAGCAGCACGTTTCGTGGCCATCGGACACCGCGGTCCTCGGACACCGGGGACCCCGAGCAGCCATCTCCTGGCCTGCTCCCCAGTCCTGTAGGCCCTGGCACACCGGGCACGGGCCGAAGACTTCGGGCTAAGTAGGACGGGCCCGGTGTGTCAGAAGCGACCGTGGCCGTAGCTGTCTGCCCCTCCCGCCCATCGGGCCGTCGCCCTGGGCCGGGCCGCCTCACCTCGCGGGGGCGGCGGGCTCTTCGGCGTCTCGGCGGCTTTGCTGACCCTCTCCGGGCCGAGGCTACGGCTGCCGCGGCTACCGCCGCCGCCGCAGCCGCCGCAGCCGCCGCCGCCATCCTCAGGCGTTAGCGTCGTGGCGTCATCACAGCGCGCGCCTGACGCCAAAACAAACCTGAGCCACCAACAGGGTGGGGCGGGGGCGGACCCTCGGAACGGTCGGACTACCCGGTTGGCCGCGCTCTGAGCGTGGCCTGCGGACCAATGGCTGCAGAGCTGGAACGGGCTCGCTCCGTCGGGGGTGGGTCTATCTGTCGCTCAAAGAATTTGTTTGCTGGGCGGAACCTGTTACAGAAAAAGGAGGAACCGCGGAAAGTAGAAAGAAAGTTTCTAGTTTCTGGTGAGGGGTAAGGTCGCTCTGTCGAGGCTGGGAACACAGTGCGTTTCAACAGAGGTTTCTGGAGGTGCCTTGGAACGCCTCACAGGATCGATTTAAATTTCATTAACAAGTCTTTTTTTGAAAAGTGCAGTTACAGTTCAGGCACTCGGATATATTAAATTTGGCCTCCATCACAGAGGAGTCGAAAATGGTTAACTTGAGGATTGGTGAAGTCAGTCTTGAGCCAAGTTCAGAGTAACAGATTTTTGTTTGTTTTAATTTTTGTTGTTATTGAATTTAAGTATATCTTAAGACTGCAAAGCAAGTAGACTTAAAAAAAAAAAGTTACCGTTCACAATGACCTCTATAGGATCAGAATCGTCTACTTTATAGTCAACTCAAATTTAAGGGGGGAAAAATAGATACTGCAAGTAATAAGGGGATTGCGACCTCCGTCCATCTTCCTCATTTTGTCTGTTCATTTATTTAAAGTCTTTATTGAACACCTACTTTACACATGGACCTATCTTTATTTTATTTTTTTTAGGCGAGGCAACCCTTGGTTGCCTCACAGACTGCAAGGACCTTGTCAGCTTACATTCCCTTATTTTTTATTTTTCATGCCTACAGCATCTGGTTTTCCTAGGTGGTCTCCCATCCAAGTACTAATCAGGCTCGACCCTCCTTAGCTTCTGAGATCAGACGGGATCCGGCTTGTTCAGGGTGGCATGGCTGCAGACTGGACCTATCTTTAATTGATTGTATAAGTTATACTTTACACCTAAAAATACATTAACAACAATAAACATCATTTTGTTTTATTCAGTAGGGAATTATAAAAAGTTTTTTAAAATAAAACCTTTAAAAATTGCTTTCAAAAATCTAGTGTGATGATTAGGGGCATGGATTTCAGGGGTGAACAAACCTGGGATCATATCGCAGCTCTGATACTTCCATAGCTGTGTGACCTTAGGTAAGATATCTACCCTTGTTAAGCCTCATTTTTATTATCTGTGTAATGGGAATCCTAATTTTAATCCCACAGAGTTGTTGTGAGGGTTAAAAGCAATATAGAATTCCAGGGTTAATGGAATTTAGTAATCCACTAAATAACACTCCCATTTTACAGACATTCAGCAAATTAATTCAACAAATATTTATTGAGCCCTTGCTATGGGCAGCTGTTGGCCTTAGTTCTGGTGAAGAACAGGAGGCCCTGAGGTGAAGAATGAGACTGGCTTTAGGACATCTAGCCCCTGAACAATAAACTATTCCATGTCTGCGGAGCTGCAAATGTTAGAAACACCATCTCCATGATGCTCTGGCTTGGGCGGCTATGTCCAGGGCCCAGTTAGTTTGGCTATCAGCCCACCCTCTCCTCCAGCTCTGGGATAAAATACACAAAGCTCTTAAGCCCCTGGCCAGAGAGCAGATTCTATCCCCACCCTACCCCCATGCACACACTCCAGGTCATTCAATTCCAGTGAAGAGCAAGGATTTAGAGAGCAAAAACCAGGGGAAAGTAGGTCACAGCAAGAGGATGGTAATCCCCCTGATGGCTGGCCAGAGCAATTGACCCCTGCTCCTGGAAACAGGATGCTCTTGGCCACCCATCAAGAGTGACTCCGGGAAGACTTTTAGGGTCTGAAGCTCCAGCACCATCCCTCCTAACAGTATGCCCAGGCTGAGGGGGCTGCCCTAAGATAACACATCTTCCACATTCTCAGACCAAACTCTTGCTGACTGTAACACTTCCTATGCTGGACTTAGAGATTCTATCTTTCATTCCACATACTCCCACAAGTGAACTCTTTATACCCATCCCTAGTTCAAGTGCTACAGACACAAAGGGGACCCTTGGGAAGTCCACAGACAGGAATTCTGAGCTGGACCCAGACAGTAACAAGCCAGTACTATCAGTACTGAGACAGAAGAAAACTCAGGAACTGTATGAAACTGTAGGAGGCTGCTGATTCAGCTTGGAGTCAGGGTTAGGGAATATTTCCTGGAGGAGGTGATACTGAAAAAGAAGTAGGAGTTCAACAGGAGAAAATGGGGAAGGGCATTCTGAGCACAGAGAATAGATATACAGAGACCTAGAAGAATAAAAACCTGGCCTTTCTTTCTGGAAAATTTTGGTGGTCAAAGGTGGGCAGATATGGGAGTGTTGTTTTTCTGAACTTTCCCCTTCAGGTGATATGAGAAGATGGATAATGACCGGTTGGGAGAGAGAAGCGAGATAAAAGTATAGGCAAATGAAGCACAGAAGCAAAGATAGGGCAGAGAGGGAGTTAATGGAGGCATCTCAGCTAAGCGAAATATGGTGTTTGGGAAGCATGAATGAACCTACACATGTGGGTGAGGTTTCTGGAGGCACCTGTCACCCTGGAGCCTAAGCAAGGGTCCTATCAAGCCTGATTCTGTCCTAGGGACACAGCCTCCCACCATGGGCTTTAGTGTAAATCTAGTTTGCCTAGCTCTGGGCTCTCACCCCCTCTCCCGCCCTCCCAACTGATTCCTTTGGGCCCCGCTTGTAAAACCCTCTCCAACTCAGCCCCACCTCTCCCTGACCACTTGTAAGTCTCCATCCTTACCCCTTATTGCACCCTATTATGTTCCTTCTCTGAAGCCTCCTGTTACCCCAAGGGCTGTGTAGGTAGATCACTCCTCTGAGCTGCTACACAGGGAAGTTGCAGTTAAAATGAATAAACTATGGGCAGAGCAGGCTTATGTAGGGCCTTCTAGACAATGAGAAGGAGCTTAACAGCAGGAGCTGTTTTTCAATATAGAAAATGGAGAGTAAAGGGAAGGGAGTGAGAGTAAAAGCCAGTGAGGAGGTCATGGCAATGACCACCTTGGGGTGGTGGCTTGGAATAGGGACCTGGTGCTGGTGGTAGAAGACTGATCGAAAGAGGGTCTTACCCCTTCTGAGACTCCTTCTCTCAGGTTCTGCCCATGCCAATTGTGCTTCCTCTTCTCAAGGATGAACAGGAGCTCCTCACACCACACACCCATTCCACGCTTCCAAAACACCTTCTGGGATTGTTTTAACTTCACACAACACATCTCTTCTCAAAGAAGCTTGTGGAGGGCAGAGGCCAGGGGAACTCTCCGTATGACCCCAGTTTCTGCAATTTTAAGGTCACTTTGGGGGGACTGAGGTAGACTCCAAGGGTTCCCCACCTTCTGGAACAGTCTCCTCAGGTGGACCAGGACCCCAGAGTGGGAGAAGACAGAGCACTTAGTCTGAGCTGTCTTGAAGGCTTGCTGGTAGTTCAGGAGAGGAGGTGAGATGGTCAGAAATATGGAGGCAGGAATGAGCCTGGGGAGGGAGGTGTATACACTGGCGATGAGGGGGAACACCACCACCTCACAGGGCCCCTAGGAGCCAAGCAGGGCTAGGAATGCCAACCTTGGAGGACAGACCACCAGAGCTCTTGAAACCTGCATGCAATGGAAAGCTCCATGCTGCCCCTGGGAAATGAGTGTTTGTAAGGATTAAGACTGAGTCCCCTGTGGTGGCCTTTGGCCCCACCCAAACTGTCTTGGGGATCAGCTTCTGGAGGCCTCAGCCCCAGACA